TCCATTTCAAAAATGTTTCAATATTCAACTAAAATAAAGCATTTGTTCAACCAAAACAATTGTTTTCATTCCTCTAAAGGTCATTGTAACTGATGGTGATGTTGATATTATTATTATTATTATTATGACATACCATACACTGTGATGCCAGGAAACTATACTTCCTGAGATACCCTGAAAATCTCACACTGTTGCAGTCTTACAAATAAATTGTTGGTACCCTTCCACAAAAACAAAAAACACAACTATCTCTGAAATAACTTGAAACTGACGAAAGTTTAATGGCATTCCTTATTTATTTCATATTTAACACAAATCAGACCTTGCTTTTGATTATTGATTCAGTTGAATATTTTATATAATTAAACAAATGAAAATGTCACAAAAAGGATGATACCCTTAAATTAATATTTTGCAGCAATGACTGTCAACAAGCGATCTCTGTACTTCACAATGAGATGTCTGCATTTGCCAACAGGTACTTTGGCCCACTCTTCCTGAGCACACTGCTCAAGCTGTCTCAGGTGTGAAGGGTGGAATTTTCTGCAATTTTCAAATCTTTCCATAGAAGTTCAATCTGGGTTCATGGAGGGCCATTTAAGAATAGTCCAATATTTTTTCTCAGTCATTCCTGAGTGCTTTTAGCTGTATGTTTTGGGTCAAGTTATCCTGTTGGATGACCCAATCCTGCATAGAGTGCACTATACAGGGCATCGGATGTTCAGGATGGGTTTTACATCTACTAACAACTGCTCGCACTGTCAAGGGGATACACCTGACAATTACATCCATGCTCTTTGGTTCTGATCAGATGTCCTGGCGCAGGATTTGTGAGGATTTGTCAAAGTGTCTGAAATGTACTATTCCAGCCTCTCCTTCAGTCTGCTTGTTGGGCAACCTAGATGGTGTCACTACAGAGATTAACACTATCCACATGACTTTCACTGCTTTATGCATTGCTAAGAAGACTGTCCTCATTAACTGGAAAAATAAAAATAATCTTAATATCAACCAATATAGAGACAGTTTTCTGGACCATATTAGTCTTGATACAGTTTCTGCCGCCACATTAGACCAATCTCTCTGGGCTCTATCACCTAGTGGGGGTGGGGGGTCGCAGGTTTGTCCCGCTTCGGTCTTTGTTGTTGG